CGTGTTTTACCAAATCACTATGGATCTAGATCCGGCCCGAAATCCAAGATCCGCGTTGAAGTGAGCATCAAATTGGCCATTTTACCCTCCGACGAAATCTTTTTAATTGTCTTAAAATGCAAAAATCTCAATGGCATCCTTTGTAATTATTTACACTTTATAAGGTTATTTATTATCCAATGTTTCCCAATTAATAGTATAGATATAATCATTTCAGTGAAAAAAAAAACGAGTGACCTCTAAGCTCCTATTTTGGTAAAATAAAGTAGATGTAAAATAAAGTAATCTGTCAAAGATCTTTAGCCCTTATGGTTATTGTTGACGATGCTGTTTAGCTCTTATTTTGGTAAAATGAAGTAGATGTAAGTGATTTGTCCAAGATCTTTCGCCCTTATGGTAATTGTTGACAATGATGTTTAGTTTTTATCTTTTGTTGATCTTATAATGATTGCACGCATGTTATCTTAATTTTTCACGCCAATTTACAACCAAGTCAACAAGATTCTGCAAGAGCTTGAGAAAATAATGGACTTAAATGCTTAGAAGTACAATAACAATATCAAACAGACAGATTTCGCCAGAGATTGAACACAAATGGCTCAATATCACATAACACAACCTTTCTTACTCATTTGATTCGCAGCTTAAACCAACACTAACTTAGGCTTCTCAAAATTCTTGGAATCAACATAGGTTCCGTTTCCTATATCAGTATATTGGAGCTGCACCATAAAAAAAAACCACAAAAGTGAATTCAAATAAGCTAATACCAAGTAACCTTATGTTCAAATATCACTGTAGAAGAGATGATACAATGCATACCTCCACCGATTGTTGCTTTAGGCAGCTTCTCTATTGAGTACTTGCGTCGTGTTGCATACATGATTGGTACACCAGGAATCTATAAACGAACAATAAGAAAGTTAACATCCAAGGATTCCAGCCATGGGTTTAAAAAAGCATATATATCAAACTAATATCTTTACCTTGCGAATCCTTCGCTTTAGATCTCTATCACAAGTAGCTACTATGAAGCATTTATGCTGATAAATTACAGAGGAAAGAAACAAACAGAAGATTAGACTACATGCATAAACAGAGCATCTTCTTAGAGAAACAGGACACAAAGGTAAACAAAACCGGAGCTGAGGCATTATCTGAGTAACTCTGTCAACGAGACAATCATCAGCATATGTCCCTTTGTGTACACAAGGTAGTCTTTCAAATCGTGGATCCTTTGCAATCCTAACCAAATTTAAAAGTAACCAATTAAGAATCAACAAAAATGATGCAATTCTACTGAAAAATCCTACTTTGAAGTCTAACAAAAGCTTTCACCTTAGAGCTACTGAGCTACACGATACTTCTGACCTAACTTCTCCAGCTCAGCCATGACACAGTCCGTGATACAAGGAGTGCCTTCAAATCCGAAACGATTGAATGGTTAACAAAGAGAAAGAATATTGCATAACTGTAAACTAAACATAGTTTAAGTAACTCACATTTTGCGTACAAACAGTCCATCATTCCCTTCTCAAGATCAATCTATAACATAAAACAGAAGAAACTAAGAAAAGATAATTTTGCACCATAAACAACAAGATTTCAATCAAGTCCACCAAGACAAAAAAAACTCAACCAAAATCGATCTCTGCTTTATCATGCACATTCCGATTACAGCTCTATATTAGATAATGCAATTAACTGGATTACCTTATTCTGGATAGAGAAGTTGATGAAATTGGTATCCACTCAAACCCGGTAATAAGGAGGAACCAAACTAGAGTTGTGAGAAAAGAAAAGCCCTGAAGGAACACTTGGACTGATACAAAAGACCACGAAAATCACAAATCAAAATCCAAAATTAACCCAAAAACTCACGAAAGCACAAAAAAGGGCTTATAGCTTACACGTTTCTTGGAAGTTCAGTGAGATCCTTCTTGTTTGGATTCAGAGCCTCCTCCTTGTAACTGAAGGTAAGTATCCATTAAGAAACCAACAAAAAAAAAAAATCAAATTTTCGAGGAAAAAGAATTGTTACTTACTCTTTCAACGCTTTGTGGCTTATTAATTTTTTCATTACAGCAAACTTTTGAGGTTTCTTTGATCTTCCCATCGTTGAAGCAAAGAGTAAAAACAACCCTTAGAAGGTGCAGAGAGAAATATGCTCTCTTTCGAAACAGAAGACAACGACCACTTTAGTTCTTCTTCCCTCAGATGCAAGAATCGAGCAGAGAGATTGAGAAAGATATTTGTTTGTTAAAATTAGGGGTTTGAGTCGTTTGACATTTTAACCAAACCAAACCGAACCGAACCACACCAAAGTAACGAACTGAACCGAGCTGATGTGGGCTCGGCCCATATACGGAGTTCTGTCTCTTACGGCGTCGGGACTCGGGCGTCTCTCTCTGCATAAACCGGCGATGCTGAAGGAAGCTGAGCGAGTAAAAATGGAGGATGATGAAAAACCACAGATGGCTATTCAAATTCAACCGGATGTTTCTGTCGGAAAGATTCTCTCATCAAGCGACACTGTTTCAGTTGGTGTCTCTGTTATCACTGGCTATCTCGGCGCGGGAAAATCCCCCGTAAGTCCTTTCCTTTCACTTATTTACGTGTTGGGTTTTGGATTTTGATTTTTTGATTGTGGTGTGTAATCTGGTTGATTTTGCTCCAGCTTGTGAATTATATATTGAACGGGAAACACGGGAAGAGAATAGCTGTGATTTTGAATGAGTATGGGGAAGAGATTGGAGTTGAGAGGGCTATGATTAACCAAGGAGAAGAAGGTGCCATTTTTGAAGAATGGGTTGAGCTTGCGAATGGCTGTTTGCTGCACTGTTAAGTAAAGTCTTGTTCAAGCCCTCGAGCAGCTTGTTCAGATAAAAGACAGGTGCTTTTTTTCTTTATACTGGTTCGAACTCATAACTTTTCAGCTCGTGAAATCCCCAAATTAATGGTCTTTGGAGAAAAGAATGCATATTTGATTTTAAGACTATCCGCTTTTGCTTTCTCAAATGCAGGCTTGATCATATATTGCTAAAGACAACAGGTTTAGTAAATCCGGCTCCATTGGCTTCTATTCTTTGGTTGGATGACCAGTTAGAATCAGAAGTCAAGCTTGACTGCATTGTTACTGTGAGTAGTGGACTCTTAAATCTGATTTACTTCTCCTTTGTTAAGCTTGACGTTGCTCTTATAGTTCTACTATCATCTTGTACATAGCAGAGGAATTAATATACATAGAATTGTGTTATCCACACTATTTTTAGGTCTATTCGTCATCTATAGCTAGTGATTCTTTCTTTTCTGGTTACCTCTTTGTAGCATATATGTCTCAAGTTGCATACTCTCTCCCTGGTCCTAGTAATTTAGTGCTCAGGCATTTATGTTTCTAATTACTTAGCTACTTGAACAGGTTGTGGATGCAAAAAATCTTCGTTTTCAGCTTAATTAGCGCCGTGACTCATCCTCGTTTCCCAAGGCTTTTAATCAAATAGCATTTGCGGTAATCATCTTGTGACACAACCAATGGGTACACTAACTTATAGTCTTCTGCATCTTACATCTCACCTCATTATGATGAGATTGTTTTATTCTTTATTGTAGGACACGATAATAATGAACAAGGTGGACTTGATTTCTCAAGAGGAATCTGATGAATTAGAGAAGGAGATTCATTCCATCAACTCGCTCGCCAATGTCATCCGATCTGTTAGGTGCCAAGTTGATTTGTCCAATATATTGAACTGCCAGGCATATGATTCAACTGTTAAGTCTCGGAAACTTCTCTTCTCTTCTTGATTACTATTTATGCTTTCGACTGTAAAAACTGAACTTTTTTCTCTGTTCACTGTTGAAATTAGCATGTTAGTCGTCTGGAATCCCTGCTGGAAGCAAATAAATCATTAACGACGACAGATCTTCACGACAGTGGAGTAAGGACACTATGCATCAGCGAACCGCAACCTATAAACCTCGATAAGGTAGCCAATTTATTGAACATTTAGTTAAGAAATAGTGTTCTTCGGGATACGCCAACTTGTTCTCGGTTTGACAGGTTCGTTTATGGTTGGAGGAAATTCTGTGGGATAAAAAATCGGAGATGTTGCAAGGCGGTGTTGAGCATTCAAAACTCAGACCAGCTGCACATGAGTAAGGTATTATGATCCTCAGAGTGTCCTTCACATTCTTGTTGGTTATTGAATATGCGCAGGCCGTTAGAGAGATATATGAGATAGTGCCAGCGCGAAAATGGAGCGAGGAAGAGAATCGAATCCAACAAAATAGTATGTATAGGTCATATCTCCTTTTTGCATCATACAGTAGTTAACATTATTGCTCCCAACACTCGTTTTCTCCCAGCTTACTGATTCAAGTAATTGAATATATTTACAGGAGACAAACTGGATGAAGAAGTTCTTAGAAGCGGATTAAGAGATTGCAGACCCTAAAAGGAAAACGCAAACTTGCAGTAACAACCAGATTGGTCTACCCTGGTTTTTTCCTATCTGCCGTTTAAGTCTTACCGTCATGCAGAATACTTTATATTAATCATTAACTTGATCAATTTTTGTATAATATATAACAACTGTGTAAGGTTATTAGGTGTTTCAATTAACGTCTTTACACTCCTGGTTTACCCTGTAAGCAAATCCAAAGGAAGAAGATTTATGCTCATGAAGAGCTTATTAAGATAGATAAATAAGTTAAGAAATAAGATATAGCTCATTGAACAAGAAATGTAAAAGAAGAAGAGAAATTTTAATTGAGTTTTGGATTGATTTTTTTCTATACGGAAAAGAGGGAGAGTTGCTCCAAATGGCAACTCTCTAGACATTAGTTACATGGGCTTCTTATGAGATTTTATCTTGGGCTTCTTATGGACCCTCTAATATACTAAATCCTGCATCATATCCGTGAAGACCCGACCCGGTTACATAAGATCCACATTATCACTTGGGTATGTAGGTCAAGTGCCTCATCGGTTATTTATACTTTTACTAGTCGCTAGAAATGAGCAAAAGCAAAGAGTAGACGGAGAGATTTTTAGGGTTTCGAAACAAGAGCGATGGCCGATGAGGCATTTGGCGGGTCTGACGAGTCTGCATTTATAAGTGCGTCTGGTAGCTACTTAGACATAGTTTGCAACGATGCCTGGGATGTTAAAATTGATCCGTGGTCCATGCGTCGAGTATCTGTCAAGATGTCTGACATTATTGATAAAACATATGAAGCATCCGATAACGAAAGCGATTATACCGTGGATGTCTCTAGCAACATCATGAGGAAGGTTGTTACCTATTGCGTGAAGCGCAACTATCAGTCCGAAGACGATCCCGATAAACCCTTCTCCACTGAGGATGAGAAGTGGATCCGCGAGGAATTCAGCAAAGAAAAAGATCCTAAGAAGCTCTTCGACCTTTACAAGGTATGTTCTTATCGGATTTTCATTGTAGGACTCTCTTGGGTTTTGGATGTGCTAGTTCTATAGTCTATTCTTCTCTAGTTATGAACCCAACATTGTTTTGCTTTCTGCTAAATTATCGGGTTATTGCTCAAATTTCATGAATATGAATCTTTCAAAGTTTTCGGCCCTTTGGTGTGTAGGCTTCGGTTTACCTTGGATTCCCACACCTACGTGATCTGATCAGAACGATCGGGATGGAGAACGAGATATTCCAGCGTTGTTTAGGAGATAATACAGACCGCATACGCAAGGAAAAGGAGAATGAAAGCTTTCTTGCAACTCATCAGAAAATACTGAGTTCGGTAAGGAGGTTCTTAATCTTGATTTGATTTGTTTCTCTTTACAAGATTATTAAGGAATTTAATCTTAATTCACTATTTTAAATTTCAGGTGGTTTTACCAAAACTTGATAACCAATCCCTGGTTCGTTTCGGGGCTTTGTGCAAGGGCGCCTCCAAAGTCGCTGAGCCCCTGATCATTTCCCGCGGCATCTTTTTGAACCATTTGATCCCAGAGCTCAACCAATACCGCCACAATCATATCCGCCTGGAGACACAGGTTATCTTGGTCAGCTCTGATGGGGTTAACTTTCCCATTACCGAAAGAGCTGCTCTTGAATCAACTGTTTTACGTGTTTTGATTGCGGAAAACTATGAGCATCTCCCAACTCGTCATGCTCCCAAGAAACAGCAGATCACCCACACTGTGCGCATCAACAACAAGATTCTCACGGAAGTCATTGCCTTCTGTAATTTAGCTTCTACAAACAAAGATGAGGCTATGGTGTGGGTAATTAAGTCTCTCGATTCATCTAGCAAATCTACACTTGGTCTCATCAAGGTTTGATTTTGGTGTGTTTATTTGCTTGATGTTATGTTAGGTTCTTCAAATATTGAATTAACCTTTGTTTTCCGAAAACATTTTTGCTTAGGCTGCGCAAGAGCTACAGATTGACGGGCTTCTTGACTGGATAGCTGATGAAATAGCTACTAAATTGAAGGCCCAAACAGTTGCACGGATCTGTCAGACTTTGGGCTTAGAAAATGAAGAAAGTGAAGAGGAGTACGAGCAAGTAGTAGGCTTATGCTATAACAGCGAGGAGGAGGAAGAAGAAAGCGAGAAGGAGGAGGACGACAAGGACGAGGATGAAGAAGAAGATGAGGTATCTGAAGAGTCTCCAAAATCTGACGATTCTGCAAAATGAGTTCATCTAGACTTAATCGCAAGATTAGAGAGATCGGTTGACTATCTGCAAATCCCTCTCTTTAATCTCTCTGTTTAATGTCTTGGTACTGCTTTTTTAAGTCTCTGCTTGTAGTTGACATTAAAATGTGAGGAGTTATTGCTTCTGCTCTTTTAAGTTTCTGCATGTTGTTGACATTAGTTATTGACTTATTGTCTTTAAAAAAATGACTATTAACACGATTAATATCTTCTTTGTTGTGAATTGAATAGCTTGTTTTCATTCTGCATATTACTCCCTCCGTTTCATAATATAATATAAGTCGTTTTGGAGAAAAAAATTTGTTTCTTAATATAAGTCGTTTTCAAGTTTCTATGCACTTTATATATTATTTTAATATTTTATAATTATTTATATTATGCAGTCTCTTTTATAATTGGCTGAACTTTTTAAAAGTAGATCTTCTTAATCAGCGTGTTTAAAGCTAAAACGATTTATATTATGAAACGGAGGAAGTATTTCTTTTCACTGTTTTGGAAAAGACTATTTAGTGAATGGTTCTACGGTAGACACGTTTACAATGTCCTTTTCCTTCAATTGGTTCACACACATGGGAACAAACGTGTCTAGCAACAACGCAAATGTCTCTATATACTCTTCTCTATATCCATTAATTCTACACCTGGCAGTAAATGCATTGTAGCGGATGTTACTCTCCCTAGCCACTCTCAGACTTTTCTTGTTACCAAAACCCAGTTCAGAGCATCTTCAATGGGAGATTCTCTCAATATTTGTGATCGGTTCTCTTGTTTATTTGGCAAAAAAATAAATCAAAACAGATATAAAATGAGAGAATCGTCTCTCTTCAGAGAAATTTGGGCAATTGAGAGAGCCGTATACGTGGCGATCTCTGATTGGAACATCATTTTTAACAAACAAAAAAAAAAGTCTTGTGTTTCATTATTTTTCCTTCTGCAAAAAAAAACAAACCCGATTGTTTCTCTCTCTCGAAGCCGATCGACGCGACGCGGTTATGGTGTGTGGCGAAGACCAACCCGGTTGATTCATCGCTATAGACGGCGATTGAGTGGGATTGTAGACAAAGCGGCGCTGATTGTGGTCCGATTCAACAAGGTGGACCTTGTAACGACCCGACGGATGTTCAGAAAATGGCGTCGTTTGTTTTCAACAATTATTCTCTGAAGAACGGCAAAGAGGACGAGGCTTGCAAATTCTCAGGGGCTCCTCAAGCTCCAAATTTTGTCTCAAATACTCCTCAATGGTAAAAAGACAAAATTACCCTTAATGAGAGTTGATTTCGGGTGATAAAGGTTAAATACAATTAAATCGGTAAGTGTTCAACGAAAAACACAATAGCTCAGTGGTTGCGAGCTCCATGCGCACGCGCGCCCCCCCAGGGTTCGAATCCTTTTATACGGGTTGTAACTGGTACAACTAGGGAATATTCGTGTACAACTAGTAGGTGGTACAACTAGGAGGAGGTACAACTAAGGTCTTGTACAACTAGGAGGAGGTACAACTAAGGTCTGGTACAACTAGGAGGGTACAACTAAGGTCTGGTACAACTAGGAGGTGGTACAACTAGGAGGTAGTACAACTAGGATACCAGTTGTACCACGTATACCTAGTAAAGGGGTAGTTTCGTCCTTTCATTAAAAGGAGGAGAGTATGTGGATTAGAGGAGAGTATGTAGATTAATTCTTTGACTCTGAGGAGCAATTGAGATTAGTCTCCCACTCAATCCCAGTAAAAGCTTTCTTCTGAAATCGAAATCTTATATCTGTTAGGGTAGTGGAATCAGGTTTATAATGATGATCTCTTGTTTTAGATTCAGATTTGATACATTAGTGCATCTTGTTGAAGTAATCTTCCCCCATTGTGTGTGTTTTCAGGTCAGGGAACTTGCAAATATCCTTTGAGGTAATCAACTTTAACCTATCTTTGATCAATTTAGATTTATGAAAGATGGTTTGGTGATTTTGTGTTCTTCAATATCAGTTTCCTTAATAAGAGCTAATCTTGTTTTGGTAAGAATGTATTTGGTTCTTAGATTATTCAATACGTGAATGGGATTGTCTTTTTGTCTGGCATTTTGAATTTTTATATTCTATGGAATTTGTAGTGATCTTTCTTTCTTTCAATGAACTTATATGGTTTTGGACAACGAAGCTGTTTAGGATATCTGTTTCTGCACCCTCAAGCTAGCCACTCCAACTTATAAGTCATTTGTTTCATCTAGTTTCGCTTAAAAGAATGAAGGAGGATGAAGGTTTTTTTTTTGCAGTCATTTGCAACCATATCCTGTTCTTTACGAGAAGTCTGGTAAAGAGGATGAATGTTTTTTTTTTAATCTATAGAACTCTTTTATCTGAATCTTGACATAAGGACTCATGCAAATGTAGTGTGCAAATAGGAGAAGATGGTTGGCCAATTTAGAGTTTCTCAGAAAATATTTTTTTCCTTCAAGTTGTTTTCTGTTAGTATGTTTCTTTAGATTCTTCTGATTTGGATATCAATTGGGTTTGTCATGTATCCACTATTGTTACTCGTTTTTGATAGCTTGGGTTAGAAAACAAAGTTGTTGTTGTGCGGAAGTCGAGAAGAATGGTTGGCCAGCGATAGAAGGGGGGAATGTAAAACCAGTGATTCACAAGTATTTACCATTGTCTCAAGCAGCAGAAGCTCATAGCCTTATGGAGAGTAGTAACCACATTGGTAAGATTCTCTTTGCGACCTAATCCTCTGAAAAGGGAGAAATGTTAAAATCTGGTCGATTGTGTTCATAGATGTACAAGACTTGGAGTTTGTTTTGTTGGCTTTATAAACAAAATTATATTATGACAAAATTAGCTCATGATTTATGACAAAATTACAAAATTATATTGTTATAGTTAAATAACTAAAAATTATTACTAGCTCATGATTTATGACAAAATTATATTGTTATAATTATACATTATTTTGTCATGTATGTTTAATATTTTTATGAATTGTAATAATTATTAAGTTTTATGAAAGAATATTTTTTATAATTTTTTTTTCCTAAGAGAACCTCACAAGAGAACCTACCATTGGAGTATGAAAAATTAAAAAAAAAAAACAAAAGTTCTCATCTCAAATTTTCAACAAATTTATAATAAAAAAATTGAGAGAGCTTCATGGAGACAACTCCCCATTGGAGATGCTCTCAGATTACTCTATTTGGTTTATTTTTGGTTTAGAGAGGATTAACTGTAGCCTGTAGGGTCCTCAACTCCTCTCCTACAACCATTGGAACCCTTAGAGCATCAGCAACAAGCTCTCAAACCTTCAAATTTAAGGGTTTTTTGAACTCCAATAAACCCGCAAACCCTAATTTTTGAGCACTATTCACACCTTCAAAATCTTTCTCATATTTCATATTTAGTCTTTGTACTTTATATATCTTACAAATAATTCTATGAAATTCAGCTATTTCAAATATATTCATATAAATTCAAATACATTCAAATTATTTAAATATAATAAACATAACATTTAAAAACAAATTTAATACAATAATACTACATTGAGCATTTTAACACAAATTTTAATTAACATTACAATAATAAATAAATACATAAACACACAAAACAAATTAACACAAGATTTTTTTTTGCATAAACACATAATTAATAAAAATTAATTTCATAATACAATATTAATATTCAGATAAATTTGATCCCGAACATCCAAGATCACCAAAATATTGTCCATAAAATTTTGATGCAATTTGAGGTTGTTGTTGTTCTTGATTTCTTTTTTGATGCAATATTATTATTCTCAAAGCTTGCTCAGCGTATCGCTCCACCAGTTATTTTTATTTATTTATATAACTATATAAACGCTATAAATATTAAATATATTAAACAAATTTTAATCAATTGACTCATAGTTAAATCCGATTAACCCAATACTCTGCTGATCTAAAATATAGTCTGGTTCACTGTCCGGATCGGATTTAAAAACATTGACTGTAACCATCGGAACCCTTAACATGTTTTCCAAACAAACACCCACAACCGAATGACAGAAATTATTAACTAATAAAATACTATGCTATCATAACTCTGGACATACATTTGGGTCCGGTTTAAGTTGTTTTTCTGTAAAGTAATCAATTAGATTGATACATAGAAGTTAATATAAGTTGAGGTAGGGAGGGAGAAGAAGCAATTAAGTTTGCTGACTCAATCAATTTTATTCTGATTTTTTAAAGGGGTAAAATGACAATGATGTGGCTTCTTCTAAGATGTTTTCTATTGTACTGATGTGGATACAAAGAAAAATCTCAATTAACACCTTTTATTAATAAGATATATAACTATAGAATTGCTATAAATATTAAATATACCAAATAAATTTTTAGTCAATTGCTCATAGTTGAACCCGATTAATCTAATAACCTGCTGATCGAAGAGATAATCTGGTTCACTGTCTGGTTTGGATTTAAAAACATTGGCAGCAACCATTGAAACCCTTGGCAATAGGCCTACGCCGCATCCGGATATCCGGCATTTTTTTAGGGTATCTTGATCCGGATCCGGATCCGCACGGATCCGTCCAACCCGGATATCCGAGTTTAGGATATCCGTAAAAATATCCGGATATCCGGTTCGGGTTTTTTTTTTAATATAAAAATTATTTATTAATATAAAATTGAAGAAAAAGATAAATAATAAGAAAATAATAAGAAAAATTATTATTAAAATTTAAATAATAGTAACAAAATATAAAAAAATATTATTAATTATTATAATATAAAATATCTCGGATCCGGATATCCATTTTGAATTTTTTCTATTATCCGGATCTGGAACTATCCCATCCGGATATCCTATTTTCGGAGCGGATCGGAATGGATCCCGGATCGGATCCTCGAGAATTGGTCTCAGGGCTACTTGGCATGGGCAGTTTTTTTTTTTTTGTTTGACCTAAACGACTGTTTATTGGGTTATATTGAGAATAAAAATTAAAAAAAAATTAGTCCTCCACTCAAGATCTGTGCGGCGGCGCTCTCCCTCAAACTCTGCTTTCGCCTCCTCCATCTGTGTGATTTCGTTTCTGAGTTAGCGCTCCTCGGTATCCATATCTGAATCGGCAGTGATCATGGCGACTCCGGCTGATTCTCTGGCTGTCAAGTCGCTCAACAGCTCCAAGGGAAAGAAGAGATATGCGGTGCGTCGTGTGTTTCTCTCTCGTTTTTCTTCGTTTCACTGACA